CCCTCACGGCGAGCACCCCGCAGAGTTCACCGTCGCCCGCGATTCGAATGCGATTCGTTCGATCATCGCGTTGGTCGACAACAAAGAGCAGATCGAATGCATCGTCGACCCCGGTTCGCAGATCATCGCCATGTCGGAAGAGGTCTGTCTGGGCCTCAACCTCCTCTTCGATCCTACTATCCAGCTGAACATGCAATCGGTGAACGGCGAGGTGGACCGATCACTAGGACTCATTCGAAACGTTCCCTTCCGCATCGGTAAGATCGTATTGTATCTCCAGGCTCACGTCATTCGAAACGCAGTGTACGACATCCTCCTCGGCCGACCCTTCGACGTGCTCACGCAGAGCGTCGTCAAGAACTTCTCCGACGAGAACCAGACTATTACGATCCTCTGCCCGAACACCGGCGAAACCGTCACGATTCCGACGTACGCGCGAGGAAGATCGCGAAGCCGGCAGCATCCTCTCGGGTGTCGCAAATCGCATTTTCTCGCTTCGAGGAATTGATTCCCCATGATCAAGGAGAAGTTGTGCTAGTCATCGACTACGATGGGGTAACACCAAGTATTTCCTTCGTCTCTCCGATTGATTCCTCGACTCCGAACGCTGTTTCGTCACTGTACCTCTCCGCATGCACCTCCGTTTCTTCATATTTGCAGTCTCTTTACGCCTCGGACAGTACAGCTTCTAATGCCGCTCCGTCGAACGCTTCGACGTGGGCTTCGACTCTTCTATTTTCAGCTCCGTTCGCTTTGACTCCGCCAGCTCCCGCTCCGACGAAATCCATCTCACAGTTTTCCAACTCAATTCTTCCCTTTCCTTCGACGACATCGACTTCTACCCCTTCAACGCACAAGATCCTCGCCGCGACAAAGAAGAAATACAAGCCTGTCGCTCTCAAAACTCGACCCGTCCTTGGTGCCGTCCCCGAACAATTTCGAATACTTCGAGACATCAAGGGCGACCCTCTCTCCATCATGCCCAAGCTTTCGACCGACCCCCCGCCATTCAAACCTACTGGTCGGTACACCCTCGAACGCTTCGAAATGACCGAGAAGCTTCACGACGGCGACTTCCTACTCCCCGAAGAACGTCGAGTCCTCCACCACTTCATGTGCCTGCACAACGAAGCCTTCGCCTGGACCAACGACGAGCGCGGATGCTTCAAGCCCGAGTACTTCCCTCCCGTCGATTTCCCCGTCATTCCTCACACGCCCTGGGTGCAGAAGAATATCCCCATCCCGCCCGGGATCTACAACGAGGTCTGCGCGGTGATCAAGCGAAAGATCGCCGCCGGAGTCTACGAGCCATCGAACTCGTCGTATCGATCGCGGTGGTTCTGTGTCATCAAGAAGGACGGCAAATCTCTTCGACTCGTCCATTCCCTCGAGCCCCTCAATGCAGTCACGATCCAACATTCCGGTGTACCGCCGACGCCCGAATACCTCACAGAACAATTCGGAGGAAGACCATGCGGCGGCATGCTCGACCTCTACGTCGGCTACGACGAACGACTCATCGCCGAGTCTTCGAGAGATCTAACGACATTCCAGACACCCTACGGAGCCATGCGCCTAGTCACACTCCCGATGGGTTGGACGAACTCAGTCCCGATCTTCCACGACGACGTCACCTACATCCTGCAGCCCGAGATCCCGCACGTTACGGTGCCCTACGTCGACAATGTTCCCGTCAAGGGTCCCGAATCCGACTACGACGACGAGCGACTCCCTTCAAACCCCGGCATTCGACGCTTCGTATGGGAGCATTTCGAGAACATGAATCGCATAGTCACTCGAATGCGCTACGCCGGAGGTACCTTCTCTGGAGTCAAAAGTATCCTCATCGCTCGAGAAATCATGGTGGTCGGACATCGCTGCACTCCTCACGGACGCCTCCCTGACGACTCTCGCGTCGCTGCGATACGCAACTGGGGTCCCTGCGCTACTCTATCCGACGTTCGAGCGTTCCTCGGGACCATCAGCGTCGTTCGTATCTTCATCCGTAATTTCGCTCACCGTGCCGACGCGCTCGTACGCCTCACGAGGAAGGACGTCGAGTTCGAGTTTGGTCCGGAGCAGATCACGGCGCAGGAAGACCTCAAGGACGCGCTACTCTCATCCCCCGCACTCCGAGCAATTAGTTATGATTCCCCCTCTCCCGTCATTCTCGCAGTCGACACGTCGTTCATCGCCGTCGGATATCACCTCTGCCAGTGCGATGAAGCCAATACGCGAGTCCGTTACTACAGCAGGTTCGGCTCGATTACGCTCAACGATCGCGAACGAAGGTTTTCGCAGCCGAAGCTCGAGATCTACGGCCTATTCCGCACACTACGATCCCTTCGACTCTACCTGATCGGCGTTCGGAACCTCATCGTCGAAGTCGATGCTCGGTACATCAAGGGTATGCTGAAGAACCCGGACATAGCCCCAAGCGCAAGTATTAACCGGTGGATCGTCTCGATTCTCACATTTCATTTCACGCTGGTCCACGTCCCCGGTACAATGCACGGCCCCGACGGTCTCTCTCGACGCACAGCTCAGCCCGGCGATGTCATTGAAGACGAGGTTGACGAAGAATTCGACGATTGGATCGACCAGATACATTCCTTCGTTCACCAGATTCAGCCCCTCCCGTCCGTCCAGATGCGTGCCATCTTCACCAATGCCCAAGCCGAGGACGGCTCAGATTTCAATAGGGAGGAGGATAGCTACGAGCTAGTGCCTCGATCGGAGCAAGCGCAACTCGCAGACGCAAAGCTCGACGACGTGCTCGAATTTCATCGAACATTAGCAAAGCCCGACGGCATCTCCGAAAGCGTTTACGAAGGATTCATCAAGTACTGCATGCAATTCTTCCTCGACAACGACACCCTCTGGCGCAAGGACAGTCACGGAGCACACAAGCTAGTCGTCAAGCCAGGCGATCGCCTTCGAATACTTCGAGAATGCCACGACCGCACCGCGCATCGAGGAATCTACGCAACCCGAGCCTTCGTCAATGAGCGATTCTGGTGGCCGTTCCACTACGCCGACATCGCCTGGTTCGTTCGATCGTGCCATATCTGCCAGTCTCGACAAGTGCGTCAAATCCTCATTCCTCCGACCGTCGCAGTACCAGCCCCCATCTTCGCGAAAATTCACATCGACACAATGCACATGCCAGCCTCGGGCGGATACAAGTACTTGGTCCAAGGTAGATGCTCGCTCATGACTTACCCCGAGTTTCGAATGCTTCGAAAAGAGACAGCGAAGGCCCTCGCCGACTGGATCTTCGAAGACATCCTCTGTCGATGGGGCGCGCTCAGTGAGATCGTCACCGACAACGGTACGGCGTTCATCAAGGCGGCCGATTACCTTTCGAAGAAGTACCACATCAACCATATTCGAATCAGTGGGTACAATTCGAGGGCGAACGGTCTCGTCGAACGTCCGCACTTCAGCACGCGACAAGCCTTGTTCAAGACAGCCGACGGAGATGAGAAGAAATGGTCCCAAGCGGCGTATTTTGTATTTTGGTCCGAGCACATCACGACTCGACGACGCATGGGCTGCTCACCCTATTTCGCTGTTACGGGCACCCATCCGCTCATTCCTCTCGACATCGTCGAAGCTACGTATCTGCAACCACCACCGACTTCGGTCCTTTCGACAACCAATCTCATCGCCCGTAGGGCCATTGCACTTCAGAAACGCGTCGAACAAGTCACCGAACTCCACTCGAAGGTCTACGAAGCACGTCGAACTGCAGCAATTTGCTTCGAGAAAGAGCACGAGCACTCGATCCAGGATTTCGACTTCAAACGCGGAGCCCTAGTGCTCATACGCAACACGAAGATCGAGAAGTCCCTCAACCGCAAGATGCGCCCGCGATACCTAGGCCCCCTGATCGTTGTCTCGCGCAACAAGGGCGGCGCGTACATCGTGTGCGAACTCGACGGTACAGTCCTCGATCGACCCATCGCAGCATTCCGCGTCATTCCGTACTTCGCGCGCAAATCCATACCAATTCCCGAAGATCTCGAAGATGTCTCGACCGAGCGTCTTCGAGAACTCGAACTATCGAATTCTCTAGGCGACGACGACGATGATGAAGTCGAAGAAGCCGAAGAACGTGACGAATAGAGGTTCCTCCCTTACTTGTACAACACGATACGTACTTTCTTCTCTCCATTCCTGCTCTCACATTACGCGATATGTTTGATTTTCTCCTACGTTCCAGACCATCCCTTGTACGAATACCTTCGATTCAACTCGATAACCGCGACATTGTTCGACGTTCTACGAACGCTTCGATTCGACCGTTGCGCGGAGGCTCACCTTAGACGAGTCCTCCTAGGCTGTGATGACAAACTGAGCGTATATTTTCATTAAGTCCATTTTCCCTCACTATGAACATTTCGATTTCACCTTCTATGCCCTTCGATCATATTACGACTTACTTCGAACACACTTATTTGCATTTCCTTTTCTTAGTTCCCACTAGGTTTTGTCTAGGCCAAGGGCCACATTTTTGATTCGACTATGGACACAATATTCTACGACATAAGGACAACTATGATACAAGACGACCCGCACCATCGCCTACTCATCGTCTACAGCCCCGCGCACGAAACCGATCCCTCCCTTCGCAAGCGCGGCCTTCTCCATCTTCTGGAGGTCGAGGTCCATGTCGTGTAGGAGCGCTCGACGGCGCGCGATGTGAGCGCGCTCCTCGCGGATGACGCGAATGATCCCCGAGATTCGTCGTCGAGGTCAAGCGCGTCGAGGTCGTCCTGTTCGAGGCCCAGGCAGCTGGCCCCATCGAGAGGCCGTCGTAGAAGGGGTCGCGGAGGCTCGTCGACTCGGCGCTTCTTCGAACCACTCGCGTCCGCGACCGAAGGCCCAGGAGAGGCTGGCCGAACTACGAAGTCGTCAGCCAAACTTTAGGACAACCGAAGAAACGACTTACTGCGCTTTTTGGTGGTTGATCCCCCGCCGCGCGTTTTCTTCGTCTTCCCAAGCACGGACACCTTGTCGAAGTAGCAGCCCTGTTGGAACTGCGCACACCTCTCGCAAGTCGTGGCGTTCTCGGCCCACACGCAATCGACCGGGGCCGAGCGGTAGCCGGCGCAACGGTCGCACTATCGAAGAGTTAGCTTCGAACCGACTCGACGGAGCATCGAACGTACCTTCTGTCCGGCCTGGCACTTCTCGATCGCCGCGGCGGCCATGTCGACCTCGGTCATCGCGAGCGGACGTTCGACCGTCCGAGGAGTCTTCTACGAAAGAAAGATTAGTCATCGAACGATGATAGAAGAAAACACTTACGACCGAGGGGTCGTCCGACAACTCGGTGACCTCGTCATCGACCCTTGCGCGCCCTTTCCCCTTGTCGACACCGGCAGGCGCAGGGTCGGGAAGGAGTCCTTCGGCGGCCGCGATCCTCGCCAACTCTTCGTCGGCGGCCTCTTGTGCGCGACGCTCGTCTTCAGCCTGCTTCCGACGGTCCTCTTCGTCCTTTCGACGCCGTTTGTCTTCGAGGCGGCGCTCCTCGGCGGCCTTCGCACGCTTCGCGGCCTCTTTGACGCGTCGTGCTTCCTCCTCGGCGAGGCGCTTCTGTTCTTCGAGGCGTCGTTCGACCTCGGCATTGATGGCAGTCGCGAGCTCGGGCCAGTCCCCACGCGCCCACTCAACCCACGACTCCGACGCCCGCTTGGCGAGTTGTTTGACGGCGGCGGCGACGCGCAACTCCGTCTCCTCGTCGCGGATGGCGCCCAGGGCCTTGCGATAGGAAAGCTGTTCGAAAACAAAGGGTTAGCTGGGTTATGCAGGTTAACAAACGACTTACGACGAGTGGCGACAAGTCTTGAGCCCACTCTTCGACCACATCGAGCGTGGCGTCGGCGGTCGGCGGAGCCTTGAGGACCACAAGCAGCGAGGCGAGGTGGCGGTTGACGAGCGAAGGAGTCGAGGCAGGGGTGGCAGAGTGAGCAGACATCGTAGAAAGCAGCGAGTATGTGGAAAAGGACGGCGAGGTAGCGACGAAGGAACGATGGGATGGGGAAAATAAGGCTAAGTCTACCCTGCTTATAACCCCTTTCCGACCAGCATTTAGCGCCGGCCACGTGGCGTTCGAAGTCTACCCGGGTTGCCATTCCGCTTCGATCCGTTCACGACTATCGCGCTTCTCGCATCACGTGGAGGACCGAGGGCGGTCCAAATTTCAATAGGGA